GAATCCCAAGAATCAAGTCAAAGATTTGAAATACAAAGAAGCAAAAAACACCAAACCAGAAATGCATAAAAGCAAAAAGAATCCAAAAATATGAAGATAGTGTAAGAAGCCTCTGGGATAACTTTAAGTGTACCAACATCCAAATTATGGGGGTGCCAGAAGAAGAGAGAGAGCAAGATATTTAAAACGCATTTAAAGAAATAATGACAGAAAACTTCCCCTACCTAGTGAAAGAAAGATACAAGTCCAGGAAGTGCAGAGAACCCCAAACAAGAAGAATCCAAGGAGGACCACCGCAAGACACATCATAATTAAAATGCCAAGGGCAGCCGAAACCGGTTTGGCTCAGCGATAGTGTCGGCCTGCGGACTGAAAGGTCCTAGGTTCGATTCCAGTCAAGGGCATGTACCTTGGTTGCAGGCACATACCGGGTGGGGGGTGTGCAAGAGGCAGCTGATCAATGACTCTCTCTCATTGATGTTTCTAATTCTCTATCCCTCTCTCTTCCTCTCTGTAAAAATCAATAAAATATATAAAAATAAATAAATAAATAAAATGAAATGCCAAAAGCAAAAGACAAAGAGAGCATATTAAAAGCAGCAAAAGAAAAAACAGTCACCTACAAGTGAGTACCCATAAGACTGTCAGCTGATTTCTCAACAGAAAATATGCAGGACAGAAGGGAGTGGCAAGAAAGTATTCAAAGTGATGAATAACAAGAACTTACAACCAAGATTACTTTAGTCAGCAAAGCTATCATTTAGAATTGAAGGTAAGATACAGAACTTCATAGATAAGAACAAGCTAAAGACGTTCATCACTGCCAAGTCAGTATTGTATGAAATGTTGAAGGGTGTTCTTTAAGAAGAGGAGGAAAAAGAAAAAGGTAAAGATAAATGTGAACAACAAAGTGACATCAAATACGTATCTATCAACAAGTCTAAAAATCAAGTGAATAAAAAATATGATGAACAGAATAAACTCGTGAATATAATAGAATAAGGGGCATATGAAGAGAGTAGACTGACAATTCTCGAGGGGGAAGAAGGTGTGGGAGGGTGCGGGAAGAGTCTGGACAAAAAATGAACACCTATGGATGAGGACAATGCAGGGGGAGGGTAAGGTTATGGGGTGGAGTGGGAACCGGTAGATGGGAGATTCACCCTATGCGCCTCTGTCAGTTAGAGCGGAGCTGAGCGGCATGGTGCCCAGGATGCCCAAGGAGCCAGGGCTGTCAGGCCAGACTCACAGGGAAGTTCCCGGGGCAGATGTGCACCTGGGCTGGGCGCTCGCCTGAACCCGGCATGTGCAAGCCCCACGGGGACCAGAGAAAATAAGACCAAAGTTGGCTTTTCACGGACCCCATCCCATCCTGAAGCCTCCTCTTATAACCTAGCACACTGGACCAGCCCAGCTCAGGAAGAACTGCCTCCTGCCCTGGTGGCTGTAGGGGAGGGTGGCTTCCCCTGTCACCTCCCCCCCACCCCTCCCCCCCACACACACACAGTCTACCCCAACGCCACCCCCAACTCTCCTCCCTCCTCTACTTTTGAGCACTCAGATCTTCCAGCCTGCCCCCCTCCGCCATTTCCGGACCTTCGAGATCAAAGCCCCAGTCATCTTGACCTCTCCACCTATTCTGAGGAGCCCCATTCATTCCGTTGCATTTAGACATTAGTCTCAATGATTTGTTTTCTAATGGATCACCAACGTTTCAAAATAATAGAGCTTCACATTGCTACCAAATAATGAATGTTTTAAGGCTTATTTTACTTAAATGAAATATCTGCTATAGGATTAAGTCAAACTATTGTAAATGCCCATGTTAATCTATTTATAAGTTTTAGGAACTTTTCATTCTAGCACCCATCATTAATGTACATTTCACTAATGTCTAATTGGAATCAGGAATTATGGCAAACAGTAGCTTTTTACCTCCCAACACTTGCATTCTTCTTCACCCCTTGCAGAGAAGTAGCACCTTGCAATGGCTTTTAGAAAATGGAAAAAGAGAAAAGAGTGTGTCTCTTCCTAGTATTGGCTGTCAGTTCTCACGGTAGCCACTCAATGCACCCTCTTTCTCTGGCTGTAGTGACCCGTGCTGTGACAGCACATGATTGAGGGAGGGAGGTCCCTGGGTGGGTAATAGAGCAACACCCTGCTGGACTACAAGACACTAGTTTATAAGATAAGCACCTGAGATCACCACAGCAGAGCAGGGCTACTCTGATCAATGCAGGGAGAACTTGTACCTCAATGGGAGCTCTGCTGAGCATTTTTTCAAGATATGGAGATAGCCAGAACAGCTTGGCTCAATGGATAGAGTGTCAGCCTGCGGACTGAAAGGTCCCAGGTTTGATTCCGGTCAAGGGCATGTACCTTTGTGGGCACATCCCTAGTAGGGGGTATGTAAGAAGCAGCTGATTGATGATTCTCTCTCATTGATGTTTCTAACTCTCTATCCCTCTCTCTTCCTCTCTGTAAAAAGTCAATAAAATATATTAAATTAAAAAAAAAAAGATATGGAGATAGTCAAACAGTACAGAGATATGCAAACTACAACTTTATTTCCAAATTGTTAACAATTCACATACAGGCATACAAACAGAAGCATGCTCAAAGGTGGGCAATTTCACATAAGGTCAAAAGCAACCATGTGACCTTTGGAGGTCATACAGAGATTGTCAAAGGCAGGTTTACAGCCCTGTCTGGGTGGCTCAGTTTGTTGGAATGTGGTCTCTTACACCAAAAAGGTCGCAGATTGGATTCTCATCCAGGGCAGTTTTCAGGTTCAATCTGGTCAGGGCAAGTACAGAAAGCTACTGTTTTGGTGCTTCTCTCTCTCATAGATGTCTCTCTCTCTCTCTCTCTCTCTCTCTCTCTCTCTCCCTCTCTCTCTCTCTCTCTCTCCCTGTCTCTCTCTCTCTCTCTTCCTCTCTCTCAATATCAACAAACATATCATTAGGTAAGGATTTAAAACAAAAGTATATAGTATTTACAGTGGTTAATGCACAAAAGTTTATTCTTGTATTATTTATTATTACTGTACGTATTTGTATCCTTACAATCAATCTGCTTTTCTCAGCCCTATACATGAAAATTTTATGAGTCAAAAATAAGACAATTCGAATTCCAAGAAAATTATGTGAAAATAATACAAAGTAAATAATGTGTTTCTTTTTAAAAAATATAAAAGTTTTATTGGTTTCAGAAAGGAAGAGGGGAAAAGAAATATCAATGATGAAAATTATCCATTGGCTGCCTTCAGCACGCCCCCTACTGGGTATTGAGCTAGCAACCAAGGCAAGTGCCTTGACCAGAAATCAAACCATGATTCCTGGATTATAGGTCAGCACTCAACCACGGAGACACCACTGCTGGGCTGGAATGTGTTTCTTACCAAAACTTCTTAGATCAATTAAATCTATAACACAGCCTCCTGTTGGGAGCCTGCAGAGTTGAGGCAAGCAACTCAGTCTTAAGGAAATAGAATTAAGTTCCTTCTAGCAGAAGTTATGAGGTGCCCTGAGGGCTTGGCCAGAAGATAAGATTAACCTGGGGTTTAGCATCTCCTGTCTTCCTGCCTCTTACCCTTCCTGATCCTCCCCCCCTAGATAGCCCAGCCTTGGAATGTTGCACCTTGGAATGTCACACCGCCTCTGGCAATTAGTCAATCCTGTGTTGCCATACCAAAGACCCCCCTGCATAAGCGGCCCTGCCCCCCTTTGTCTCTGCTGTATAAATACAGCCATTTCAGAGAATAAAACTGAGGCTTGATCAGAACCTTGTCTTGCCTCCATTCTTTCCGCGTTCCTTGTTTGATTCATTCTCTTAGGTGGTTCCTGCGTACCCCCCATTGTTGTCCCGCGGGTCGGGACAGCCTCCCTAGAACTCAGCAATTGCGGAACAAACTTCAAGGACACCCTTCCTAGGGAACCAGGATGTGGTGCAACCCAAAGCCAGAGGAGGGAGCCCTGGAAGGGTGCTTCATATCTAGAAAATCCTGCTCACAATGTCAATGGTGGTTACCATTTTCATAGGCAGGGTAGAGCCATCCAAAATTGGTTTCAAATGTTCCCCGATGACTCAGCACATATCAGAAGAGTATGAAAAAGTTTATTACTCACATGATGAGGTTTTGGATGGACAGAAGGGTGGATATTAGAGTAGGTCCCAAAATGACTGAGAGAACAGGAAAAAGGGACTAGCTAGCAGTATTTATGGTGGTTAGTGGGTGTTATTGGTGAAAGCTTGCTTGAAACTTTCCTCCTGCACCCAACTTTCTCATCAGCACCTGGACTTTCTCATCAACTTTCCTAGGCTTAAAGTCAGGGAGGAGAGAAGTGTGCATCCTAAAATCTCTCAACATTCAAACATCAAAACTCGAATCAAGATCTTTATTGTAAGTACTAGAAGCCCAATGCATGAAGATCCATGCTAGAATAGGCTTTCCTTTCCCTGGCTGCCAGCACCGCCTTTACACTCTGGCCCAGCCCCTTTCTGCTCAGGCCCTGGAGCCGTCTCCTTCCGCTCCAGCCCCACCTTCCCATGCTGCCCAGAGGCCCTGAGACACCAGGGGTGGGGCAGAATGACTGTATATGCAAATCAACCGCCATCTTTGTTGGGTTAATTTGCATATCACTCCTGATTGTCTGGTGTTATTGCAGAGGTATGGTTAATTTACATGTTTGTCTATTATTAGGTAAGATTGCTTTCAATAAGAAGGGAAGAAAATAAGCACATACAAAATTTCTTCCAGATTTTAAAAAATATATATTTTATTGATTTTTTTAGAGAGGAAGAGAGAGGGATAGAGTTAGAAACATCGATGAGAGAGAATCATAGGTCAGCTGCCTTTTGTACACCCTGTAGTGGAGATGTGCCCACAACCAAGGTACATGCCTTTGACCGGAATCGAACCCGAGACCTTTCAGTTCGCAAACCAACACTCTATCCACTGAGCCAAACCAGTTTCGGCTCTTCCAGATTTTTTTTTCTCATTAGACTCTGATGATTCTGATTAGAAGAGAGTCTAAAGATGCAATGGAGAAATAAGGCCTAAGTTTTCCTGTAAATGTAGCAGTGATTCCATACAAGTATGAGTAGTTATTCAAATTATAAAATGAAACCTCTCCCAACTCATAGTCCAGAAAAACACCAATCTGTCTTTGTCCTAAAGGGAAAGGGCCAAATGTATGAATCCAGCATCCATTGCTTGGGGATGGTGATATGAGAGTATTTCTGGGGAAAGATTCTTTACATACACCTAACGAACATTCACCTATGCCTCTTATTTCTACCTGCCAAAAATGCCTGCCAGCTTCAAAACCCTCACAACTCAGGACAGCTGGGTAAGAAGTGTGTGCCTGGGAATTATGAAGATCAAATGATGGCCTATAGCACACAATTTTTCTCTTTCTTGAGATAATGAGACTTGGATGGGCAGTTTCAGGATCCAGTGTCAAATCTACAGGAAACGTGTGGGTCATTTTATGCAGGCCCAAATAATTTGGGGGGAGAAAGAAACTATCCTTCTTTAATTCACATGCAAATAATGCTGGGGGCTCTAGGTTCTCATAACTGTTATGGTTACTTTCAATACCTATAAGTAAGTCCAGGTCTGTCTGCAAACATTTCTCTTCTATTTCAATTAACAGATTGCTTAGCCTAAACATGTGGTTTGAAATGTGCCTTCCATTCTCAATTAGTTTTTCTTCAACATCCTTCTCTTCTATAAACAGATTAATATCAATCTCATCTTGCTCTATTTCCAAGGAATACTTAAATTGATTACATTCACAGTGCAATTCCTCCCTCCACTTTTCCATCTTTTCCTTCACTTTCCAAGTATTTGCAACTTGTGTAAATATCGTTTCAGAAACTTCAAGGTGATTAGTGAAGATCCAAATGAGCCCTTTGAGCATCCACCTGTGACTAGCTGCAGCTTTCTCAATGGGGATCAGGCGCTGATCCTGGTGATCGGAGGAGAGCCTGCACTGAGCACACAGAAGCTCCATGTTTTCCTCATCGAACAGGGTCAGAACCTCATTGTGCTTCCCACACAGGGGTATTTCTCCCTGCAGTTTCCTCTGGCTCCCTGAGGTGGAGATCTGCTGAACAATCTTAGTCATGTCACATAATTGGGGGTTCCTCTTCAAGCTCCTGTCAGGGCAGTGGTGGAGGCAGACAGGACAAGGAAAGGTGCCCCGTAGACCTTCCCAGCGCTGGCGGATGCAGGAGGAACAGAAGTTGTGCCCACAGTCAATTGTCACTGGGTCTCTCAGGTGAACCAGGCAGATGGGGCAGCTGGCCTCTGCTTGGAGCTTGGCCAGGGAAGCGTCAAAGGCCATTGTGCAGTGAGGGTGTCTATTAGAAAGGGCTCTCGTCAGTCCGTGTGATCCTGCAGGAGTGAGGAAAAGTGAGTAGCTGAGGTCTGCTCAGGCCTTCCGCTCTATGTTCCTAAGCAGAGCTCCCCTGGGCAGCTGACATCCAGCATTCCTTTCACCTTCTCCTGTATCGAATGTCAGATTCCCCAAGTGAAAATCAGCTATAGACTCCAGTCAAAAACCAAGCAACATGCAAGTCAGAAGTGGTTTCTGTGGACAAAAAGAGATTACCATTAAAAGTTCAGTCAGCATTAACCCTTCCCTTCCTGTATGAACAGCTTGTCAGGTAGTCCAAATCAGTTATCTATACTAATAATCTTCTATACTAATAAAAGGGTAATATGCACACCAAAACCAGTTTGGCTCAGTGGATAGAGCGTCGGTCTGCGGACTGAAAGGTCCCAGGTTCGATTCCGGTCAAGGGCATATACCTTGGTTGTGGGCAAATCCCTAGTAGGGGGTGTGCAGGAGGCAGCTGATCGATATCTCTCATTGATGTTTCTAGCTCTCTATTCCTCTCCCTTCCTCTCTGAAAAAAAATCAATTATATATATATATATATATATATATATATATATATATATATATTTTTTTTTTTTTTTTTAAAGGGTAATATGCAAATTAACCATCACTCCATGAAAAAATATGGTGGCCCCCATAGCCACAAAGATGGTGGCACCACCTGGCTTTATGGTTGCTACCAAGCCACACCTCCCCAGGGCGACGAAGGAAACCAAACCTGGGGCCAGCTGCCGAGGGAGACATGCAGGAAGAACTCAACATTCCCTGTCTAAAGTTCTAAGTCCACTGTTGGTTCCTTTCACCACTGACTAGAGATATGCAGAGTGTCCCCCAAAAATGTATACACACTTTGAATACCTACTAATTCCAATGGGTTTAAGCATGAAAAAAAAGAAACAACAATGCAGCTGTCATCCCTGAGGGGTCCCAGATTGGAGAGGGTGCAGTCTGGACTTAGGTTCCCCAACACCCCCACCTGAACCCCCATGCACCAATTGCATGCACGTGGCCTCTAGTTATAACAATATTTAAGGGGGAGTTAGAAGTAAAGTCTATCTATTTTGCAACTTAAAAGGAATTAATCAATTTAGGTAAATTCATCATTGCCCTCAACCATCACACACAAAAAAAGTGATCTTGTGCTGTGGGGAAGAGAGAAGGATTTGTGGACTATGGCTTTCAGAAGCGAGGTCCTGCCTACCAGATGTTGCCTCTGTGCAGAGACCCCAGCTGAAACACCATGCATGTGGGTGACCAGGAGGCAAAACCCTCAACAGGGAACTTGGGGAATAAGGAAGGAGGATATTCAACTCCAAGTCATTGGACAGGACAGCAATAAGATTCACTTTAAAGTGAAAATGACAACACACCTCAAGAAACCCAAACAGTCATGCTGTCTAAAATGGGGAGGAGTTCCAATGAACTCAGGTTCTCTTGGAGGGAATGGAGGAGGAAGATGTGAGTGAAGTTTATCAGGAACAACAGGGGTCATTTAATGGTTTAGAAGATATTCTTTCTTTTTCCTCAACCCTTTCTTATCGCTAAAAAAAAGTTTCTTGGTAATTGAGTATTCAAACTGGAATTGATCAGTCACCACACTACCCCCTCCTCCATCACTTTAAAACCCCTGTTAATTTGAATTCTAGTGGCCATTATTCATTATTGTTTTCATTGTGCTGATTTTGGGTGATCAAGACTCAGCCTCCTTCACATTGCCCTCTCCTTTTGAAATATTACCTGTGCACAGGGAGGCCAGCCTTTCCAGGACTATGCATTCTGAGGCTTGTGATAAATGAGGTGGACAATGCAAGTGATTGTAATACTTCTAATTGGCCCGGAAGTCCTAGCAAGTGATTACCTCACTCCTGGACTATGGCTTTCAGTGAGGTGAAAGTTTTTCAGTGAACTGAACTGTGGAAAAATGACCTTTCATGAGCTTGAAGCTACTTTTAAAATCTGAAGGTCTGACCAAAAGGAGAGAAGATCAAGTTGGAGTCAAGATGACAGATAAGGTGAGAGTAAAGACTCACACCAAAGATGGCTTCACTGAAGAAAAAGCATTTCCATCGTAAAGAAAAATCCTGTCAGAAGATTCCAGAAAAGTTTTCATTTTTGTCAACATTTAATAAGGTTATTCATGCAGAAGTGTGTGAACGCTACTCTTTATTTTTACTTTATTTGTACATTTCGGCCTGGGATATGACTTTTATTTATTTATTTATTTATTTATTTATTTATTTAGGAGACCAGTTTAATTTAGAAATAAGCTTTGAACAGCCTCCTGATCAGAAGGAGCCTAAGGCCCCCAAGTGGGGAGGGAACCAACTGCATGGGAGCTGGTCCTCCCTCAGAGGATACTGGCAGAGCCTGACGTGGTGAGTGGAACAGCTTTCTCAGAGAAGGGGCTGAGATTGCAATTGCGCTTGCATTTGCACTTGCCACTCAGAGCGAACATGATTCCAGCGATGCAGAGGAGTGCAGCGCAGATCATCCCGCCCAGCTGCAGGGTCTCCCAGTCGTAAGAAAAGGAACTGTCTTTATCAATCAGGTCACTGGCTTCCAAGGCAGGCAGGCCTGCCAGCACAAGGAGAAGGCCCCAGGTCACTCCCTCCATGTCACAGCTGCAGGGCAGGGCTGAGAGCAGGGTGGGAAGAGCAGGTCTGGGGAGGCCTCTGGGGCTGTAGGGATAAGACTTTTAAATGGGCATTGTCTGTACCAACTTCATTAAAGTAAAAAAATATTGGAAAAAAGGTGATCTTGGCCAGAGAGCTCAGTTGACTGGAGCATGGTGCAGATCTGTCAAGGTTTCAGGTTCAGTTCATCACCAGTGCCCAAGTAATAATCAAGGAATGAATGCAAAAACAAGTTGAACAAATCAGTCTCTCTCTCGCTCTCTCTTACTCCCATTTCTCTAAATCTAAAATCCTATTAATAGAAAAATATATAAGCATATATTTTTTATAAAAGTGGGGTTAGAATGTTGTCCAGTGCACCAGGTCACAGTTCCATCTTTGGTTGGGTCATGTAAGAGAGATAACTAATCTAGGCATCACTCTCACATTGATGTTTCTCTGGCACTCTCCCTCCCTCTCCAAAAACAAACAAAAAAATAGACATCATAGAACTGTTGGAGGGACTATACTATACCATTATTTGTAAGGAAGTTCTGCCAGATAAATGAATATAAATCCAGAGTTCCAAAGCACCCATTTACAGGAAACATGAGGGACTGAGAAAACTTTCAAATAATCTGGTTAATTTAACCTGCCAACTTGATAGCCAGGTAACAGCTGACACACTGATTCTGGGTGTGACCGTGACTGTGAGGAGATTACTGGGAGAGATTAGTATTTGAATCTGTGGATGAGCAAAGCAGCCCTCCACATGTCAATGGGCAACATCCACTCCACTGAGGGCCTGAAGAGAACAAGCACCTGGGAAGGCTGAATTCCCTCTCTGCTGGACTCAGTACACCAGCACATCCACCTCCTGTCCTGGGTGCACCTGGTTCCCAGACCCACCCTGGAATCTGTACCGCCTCTTCTCTGACTCAGGCCTTCAAGTACACAACAGTGGAGTTGACTAAAAGCCATAGAAGTCAGTTATTATGTATGTACTGTATAAATCTAATTTCATTTCATTTTGAAATATTTGATCAAAATTCAGTTGGAAGTTGGATATTTGAGGATTAAAAAACCTTGTTGATAATTATGTTACATTGTGGTAATGAATGGCATTAGTGGTATGTAAATTGACCTGGCCAGTTAGTGCAGATGGTCCCAATATGCAAAGGTTTCAAATTAAATCCAAAATCAGAGTGCTTATAAGAAGCAACCAATAAATGCATGACTGAATGGAACCACAAATCAATGTGTCTCTCTCATTCCAAATCTCTCTTTCTCTCTCTGCCTTGCCGCATCCTCTCCCTCTTTATAAAAAAAATAAATTAATTAAAAAGAAAATAATTTAAAAAATTTAAAGTAGAAGGATGTAAAAGGAGAGTCTCTTTTAGAAATATATAATGAAAACTTTACAAGTAAACTCATAGAAATTTAATGCCCAGAAATGGCAAAAGGTTGGTAGAAGTTGCAAAAAGGTTAGTTATAGAATATGGGTTCTTCATAATGAGTTTATAAGATTTTCTCTCCTATTCTGAATACCTAGAATACTCTATAATTTACTTTTTAGAAACCTGACAATTTGAATTCCATTTCAGTGTTTCTCTGCTCTCTTCTAGCCAAAGGTTTCTCTTACTCCTTTAAGCTTCATCCATTTCCCTTCATCTCAGAGCTCTCAGATCTACTTCATCTCCTTTCTCCCCCAGTTGTTTCAAACTAGTCCCTTTCTCCACTCCAAATCCATCATCTGCTTCCCTGTTCCCAAATCTCAGCATTCATATCCAATTAGATAAACTTTTTGGAAATTCTGGCTTTATTTTTATAATATATTTTTATTGATTTCAGAGAGAAAAAGAGGAGAGAGAGAATAGAAATATCAATGACAAGAATCATATCCTGTCTGCCTCCTGCAGGCCCCACACTGGGGATGGAGTCCACAACCTGGGTATATGCCCTTGACAAGAATTGAACGCTGGCATTCTATCCACTGAGGCAAACCGACTAGGGCAGAACCTCTGATTTTAAGCAAAAAGAATTTGACAACAGACACTGAGACATTCTAGAAGAAGATTCCCACAGGCAGCTTCAGACCACCACTTCAAGGTACTTTGCAAGAACAGATATTTGTCACCCCATAGTGGGATCCTGGTATCTGTATTTTTAGCAAGCATTTTTATGACATGGGGCAAGGCTAACTGAGTGACACCAGCAATAATGAAAGCATGTGTCTTAAAATAACCTGAATCCGAGTGATCATTGGCTTATGAGGTAAAGTCAAGGCCCTGCTAGAGTAATCACCCAGAAAGCCAAGGGCAGGGAGCAATACCTCCATGGCTCTCAGTTTGGTCCCACCTTCTGCACCAATATCATCCCGATTCCCAGCTTACCTGGAGCCTGCAGCT